TAGTTGAAACTCATCAAATTTAGCGCTTAATAGTTGTGTAAGTATCCTCCAAAATCCTACATCGGGTAGTTTTGAAGAAGGGAAGTGATAGACTATAACTATAAATAAGGAGTGATAGTTTGGATCTACTCACCACAACAACACTAGCCTTTGGGTGTATTGGGGACTTGGATAATTGAGTGTCATGAGAGGGTTTGCAATTTTTCCGTGCAAAAATTGTGTGAGGATTATATGAGTATAATTTAGCTAAAATTAGGAAACAAATTAAAACAAATTAGTTATAAATAAGGAACTAAATATATGCCAATCAGATATTATAATAAATCAGAATATATTATCATATTTTAACACACCAGATAAAGAACCTTGGTGAAAATATTTGCAATTTGATAACGTGATGGAACATGAAGCACTCGAACCTAACTGCGAACAACCTTTTCTCGAACAAAATGTATATCAATTTCAATATGCTTAGTGCGTTGATGCTAAACCGGATTTCCAGCAAGGTATATGGCACTAACATTATCACAATATACCAATGTAGCCTTTTGAATTGGACAATGAAGCTCCAAAAGTAAGTTTCTCAACCAACATGACTTAGAAACCACATTGGCAACCCCTCGATATTCCGCCTCTGCACTAGATCGTGATAAGGTAGGCTGTCGTTTGGCGGACCAAGAGATTAAGTTATCTCCTAGAAAAACACAATAACCAGACATAGATCGTCGTGTATCTGGGCACCCACCCCAATCAGCATCTGTATAAGAAAGAAGGGTGGATGTAGAAGATGGATATAGATGAAGACCAAAATTCATAGTACCTTGAAGGTAACGCAAAATGCATTTGAGAGGGTGCATGTGCTCCTCCCTTGGGTCATGCATGAATAAACATACTTGTTGCATGACATATGTAATGTCGGTCTTGTGAATGTAAAGGTATCTAAAACTTAGGTTCTTTTCTTTTAGAATATATTTTTTCTCTCTTCTTGCAAAGGCCCTCGTTGCCCCCTCCGGTCGCCGCTGCCGGCTGCTGCCTCCGGTCGTCGCACCGTCGACCGTTGCCTTAGGTTGCTACCTCCAACCGCAATCTCCAGTCGTCGTGCCGCCGGTTGCCGCGCCACCGACCGCCACCTCGAGTCGTCGCACCGCTGCCTCCGGTTGTCGCACTGTCGACCGCGACCTCCGGTCGTTGCGTCGCCGACCGCCGCCTCTGGTCGCTGCCTCCGACAGCCACTCCAGTGACCAGTTAATATATGTGTTCACAAAATCGCTTAAAGGGCCATGATACCGTGGTCCTTTGTTTGAGGGGAGGATTATTGGAATGCAAGCAAAGTCCCATATCGTTCAAACAAGAAGATGAACATAGGTTTATACAGAGTATAATTTGGCTAAAATTGAAAAACAAATTAGCTATAAATAAAGAACTAAATATATGCCTAACAAATATTATAATAAATCAGAATATATTATCATATATTCTAACAGAAACAAACTGAGAATTTTGAAAGAAATTGCCTTCATTTCAACCCTCACAATAGATTGAAACAGACATTTCAATGATTTCATAATTGATAAGGATCACAAACAAGACAGCCAGGCCACAATTTCATTGTTCCTATGCTTGTCTCAGCTGCTAAAGTATCTGCCTCATCTATTGTTATTTTACTGATAACCCTTTCCAAATTTCAAAAGAAAGGGAAAATGTTACAATTTTTGTATGTCATAGAAAAAAGTTTCCAATTAATGAAGTCCTGCAAATTGATACAAAGGCAGACCACTGGTTAAGCTTAAAAAAACAAAAGGAGGAAACAGAAAGTATCTTGAAGAGTGCTTATATTAGATGAATTATTTTCACATATTCTGTAAACTGGTACAGTTGTTGGAACAATTTTTAGTTTAACATGTTAGACTAAATGGCAAGATTACAATACATAACTGCAGAATATTGAAAGGGAATGAATCTCCTACTGCCAAATACACATGAAAACTAAAACTCAAATGTCATTAATAGAAAAAAAATGTTCAAAACAATGGTACCATTTTGAGTTGAAGTCTTACAGCAGCAGTTTATATCTCAAAAATTAGAATAATAAAAATATTAAAATATAAAAACATCAAAATAATACATTAACTATAACACATTGAAATTACTTTGGAATATAACATTGTAACTAATTCGGCAAGACTACCTAAATCCCTACTATAGACATATAACAAAAAATTCAGTGAACATAAAACATTAAAACTGACTTGGGTGGGATGTGCCAAGCCCCTGCTGAAGTGTAAGACAAGGACGACACATGAGGAACCGGTAGCAAGCTACTGGAAAGGATCCTCACCCTAAAAAAATAAATTTAATATCATGTGAGTCAATGACTCACGTATCAGATATTAAACTGATAAGAACAGATACTACACTTGATCTTAGCCAAAAGGCCGAGAAAGGTATGATTTGTAATGATGCAGATGATAATCTTTTATTGTTGGCTTTTGCAAATGTGTGCTTGGTGTTTATCTGGTGTGGGACATAATAAAGATGAGACAAATATAGCTGATTTACTAACTTATTTAGGAGTCTAAGACTACACTTGTTGGAATCTGAGACTCTGAGAGCTTGCCTTCAACTTAGTATTAAATGCACTCATTAATCCAAAGGAACAGTAAATAAGAGGCACCTTTGAAAACAATACAGATCATGCATGGCTTGTCGTTGGCTATGGCTATGGCTATGAGAATGCATCAATGGAAGTTAGTATTACAACAGTGAGAAGTTAAACTATCTTATAACTTATTGAATATGCCAAAACTAGTAGCTGCAGGTAGACGTAAAACTTAACCGACCAGCATTATGCAGAATGGTATAAACCACTAACAAAGCATAAACATGATTGAATCAGAAAGAACCAATTCACCATTTGTATCTGTACAAGGTAGACATCAAATTGAGAAGTTACGGAATAGGTATTATAACTGAAATATGTAGGTTGATTTTTTTCCTTATGATTGAAATTTAAATCTACGATTTTGTTGACATTCATTTCTTATGATAGATCCTGTGAGGCTATAACTATAACTCGTGGCAGAGTTTTACCATTTATATCTCAAATTTCATCTTTAATCTTGAAAAATTATGAACCCCATATAACAGACCTCGATACAAAAGCTGCAATACTTACTTACTAACTCTTACTTAGAGTTCCACGTTGGGAAAAGTTATAAAATGACAAATGTTTTTATTACTAAACTCAGAATATTTGAGTAGTATATGTTCAATAGGTTAGTACTCAGAATATTTAAGACACATTGTATAAATTAGTAAGAAAAATATTCTGATGTTATTTATATAAAACTGCAAAGGAATTCTAAAAAATCAATCAACCTACTACGGACCAACGCACAATAATTAAGTAATGAAATGGGTATCAAATTATCCATTCATGAACCTGCTGTTGCTCTACAAGGCATGCTAACGAGGGGGAAAAAGCCTTTAACCAAGAAGGATGGTGAGTGGTGAGTTTCCTTCTTGGAAACAGTCAAAAGAAACCGTTCAACAAAATGTGCTTTCTTTCGCTTGGGTTTTGACCAGAGAAGACCAGGGGGAGTTGCCACGACCAAAGGGTAACGACAATACTGAAGAAAACACCTTAGAAGCAACAATCTAGATATTGAGTATCGCATGCATTAGCTTTAGTCAGGCCAATTTTGTCAGAGAATGATCGATGCCTACACGAGTTAAAAAACATGTCAGAAGTGAGTGAATATAGTCCCACATCGAAAGTGCAAAAGAAATTACAAGCATTTATATAAGTGGACACCAGATATCTGGTCACGACCTTACTTGAACAGGATCTGTTCTATAGGCTCGTACCTCTGTATCCTTGAGATCAAAGGAGACAGGAACCTAAGTCTGGTGAATGAACCATGACCGTGAGATCAGAGCGTGATTAACGGCATGATGAGTTCCTCTTTGGAGGGGCGTCATCTATTTCTGTAGAGGATCGTTCTTGGACAGTGACTGTCTGAGATGGTCTCACGGTTGTCTGACAGACCCAAAATCCTTTTTTTTTTTTCCATCGTTCCACATTTAGAACAGAATCCAAAACGAAATTAAAAAAACGTGAGTACAGTGATGTGAATGAATGGGACTTATTACGTCATCAAAGTGGATTGGCACTTACCACATTTACATACAAGATCCCTATGGAAGCTTGTTTGTGTTTTATGGTGAATACTTGAGATAGTTGAGAGAAGAATGAGCTTCCAGAGAAAAGTAGTTAAGCGAGAGTTTGACCTTAATAAGAATTTTGAGGTTTGGGGAGATGATACGTTCCAGGGTAAAATGGAATTTAAAATTGTTCAATAGGAAACGTGGCATGATTTGTCAGTCAAGCTTCAAGGTGCCCTTGTGTTATAAGGTACAAGTCATTTACTTCAGGATCCAACCCTAAAGTTAACTCCAAAAATGCCCTTATTTGTTTTTTGATTTTTCTTTTAAAAAATAATCACTTTATTTTAAAAACTTAAAATTATAATATAAATCTGAAATAAATAAGCAAAGATTAAATTATCCATTAAGTCTTTATATTTTGCTTGAATATGTTTTTAACTTTAGAAAATTTTATTTATGACTCCCCAAATTTAAAGTTACTTTTTTAGTCATGGTAAATTCACAAAAAACTCCTTTTTATTCTTCAAGACCATTTGCTACATTAACGACATAGAGACAAATTACGTGAACCGTGAAGTATATGGTTTAGGGTGAACCGTGAAGTATATGCTAGATTTGATGGGTAACTTCACTAACAAGAACATGTGAATTTTGAGAAACTCAGAAATAAGTAAATTTTATATGATAATTGAGTTAGAATTGAACGACTTTTTTCCAATTATATGGACTAAAATGTAATACTAGGCTCTATGAATCTTCACAGCACAACACTTTTACCGTTATTTAATAACTTGTATGACCCAATATTATAGCAGGAGGATAACAACAATTGCTTCAACAAACTTGCAAGAAGCATGAATTTTGCAAACACTTCAAATTTCCACCCTCGAAGCTCCAAAGATAGGATAACAAAGCTCTCAAATTCTCAACACACTAACACCACGATAATCCGATTTATTAAGGTTAAATATTTATAAATAAAAAACCCTAAATTATAAAGGCCCAGTTCTGAGTGCATTGTCTAGATCAGCAATGAGATCATTGACATCCTTAAATATTTATAAATAAAAAACCCTAAATTATAAAGGCCCAGTTCTGAGTGCATTGTCTAGATCAGCAATGAGATCATTGACATCCTCAATTCCGACAGATATACGCACAAGATCTTCAGTTAAACCTCTGGCCTCACGAACTGTGGTAGGTATGCTTGCATGTGACATAAAGCAAGGCAAGCTGATTAAGGACTTCACACTCCCTGCCAAAAACAAAATTAACAAGCTCAACGTCTCCATACAATTTTTCACAAGCACACATCAAAAGGCCTATTTAGACAAATGTTAAAACTTAATACAATTTGTATTGTCAATAAAGAACTCATATTCAGAAGAACTTATCAAGTATAATTGTTATTCTATTAATAACAGTTGACAACTTTTTTACTAGAGCATTGCATTTGCATGGAAGAATTATTACCAAAGCTGACGGTTATGCTGAAGTATTTGGTAGTTTCAACAATATGCCTTGAAAGTGCCAGTGAACCTGTCAAGAAGCTAAGCACAGATCCAGCACCCTTTGCCTGCAAAGAGACCATATGAATATATCATCATCAATAGTGGCAACGTACGAGCAACAATCTTATATTTCAATTTATATCATACCTGAGAATAGTGTAAATCACGACCAGGATGACTGGGTAAACCAGCATAATTCACTTTCTTCACTCGAGGATGGGACGCAAGGAACTCAGCAATCTTTTGTGCATTATCCTGCGCAAGATTTTCATTCAAATTGACAATTATAAAAAAGCAAATGGTCACCATAAAAGATACAGACGTCCCAATTAGATCTGAAACCCAAAAATAAAATATCACATATTCTGCACAAATCAGATTTTGGGACCATTAAAAATTTACATCCAGTCTCCAAAACAATTTAACCTTCTGGACAATAGGAACAAAACTTTCTTAGATCTATAGTTTTAAGACAAATTATCCAATTTTGAACTCTGAAAGCAGAATCAGGGAAACTAAGATAATTTAACAGATAAATGAGAGAAGTAAGGGGTCAAAGAGGATGCAAGACGTTGGACAGTTGATCAAAATTATGCTTAGTCCATGCATGTCTTCATTATAAAACTATCCAAGCATATAATTAATTATATTGTAAGTATATTGAAGGGTTGACTTTCAATACGAAATATTGTTAAATGCAACAATGGATCTAGAATAGGCTTTGATACCAAGTTAGAAGAGAAAAAACTGTATACCAATTGTGTTTTGTACATTCACTAATCTCCCTTTTTACAAGGAAAATATTATGCCTAAAAAGGAAATATGGAAATTGTTAAGAAATGTGAATTAAGAATCTAATTCAACTTTACAAAATCGACTTATAAAGTAATAATTACTCTCCACTTATATATGCTATCATGATCATACCATTAGTTGATGTATGATCTCCAATAGAAATAATAGTAAAAGGGAAACCAAATTCTCATGATACTCACATATTTTGGACCTCCAAAAAATATCTTTGATATTTAGTATTTACAACACTAATCATTAAAAATTATTTAACTATTGTCAAAAATAATGTTGAGACAAACAATACATGGCCCCAATAATATTATATAGATAGCAGAAGCACTTCACACTTAAAAGATGGTTTTAAGTAGCACCTGTTGCTTTTCAACTCGCAGGGCCATTGTCTTGATTCCTCGCAAACAAAGCCAACAGTCAAATGGAGCTAAACCTGAACCCTCTGCATTTTGCAAGAAATACAATTCCTTTCCCAACCTTAACATTGACAAAAGAAAGTAACCATCCGGGAGGGAATGCAAAGTGAGTACTGAGTACTGATCCACAGTAATTTAAAAGAATAAATATAAAAATAAAGACTCCATTAGGAGTAAAATTGCAAGTAGTTTAAGAAAGAATAATATCTTTAACTCAACTATAGCTTAAATAAAGCTTATAAAAGACTTAAAAAGGAATGAAAGAAATAGTGATGAGTATCATTAAATAATTTTGAGAGAGCTCAAGCACATAGAATTTAACAAAGCAAAGGGATTACTTCCTTCTCCCTTTGATTTGCAATAAGGATTTCTCTAATTAAAAAATTCAAATCATAATATTTCCTAACATGATCAATAAAACAATACAACATATGGCCTTATATAGGCTTTACAAACTAATATAATATTATATTTAGGAAACTCATTTGCGAAAGAACGAGAAAGTTGGTATGCAAATTGGCTTTGTCCACCACAATTAATGGTGTCAAACTTTGCTACTGCAATTTCAATTTCGGATTTTCAGGTGCGGCAGCATGGCTTTGTAGGCGCCTACAATCTTGATTTAATCAATTCTGACACTAAGAGTATATTAGCCCATGCATATTGAGAGAAGACAAAACATGTCTAATTTGTGGCTTGGTATGTGCGAAGCTTGAAGACAAAATATGGTTCCAATGCAGCCACAGTTCGTTCTTCCAAAAGAACTTACGAAAACTGTTAAGGATTCTGTGAACACGCAAGGAACTTGAGATATTGATCATATCTAGACTTTGCTTCCTCAAGATATTTGGGTGTTTATAAAAGGTCTTTGTACTCCAAGTGAGCAAACTGAGGCTTATACTATAGATTGGAGTAAGTCTAATGATGAGACTTTCAATAACAAGACAACATATAATGTTATTCGGAGTCAACGTAATGATAATCCAGATCTTGTCTTTAAAAACATCTAGAGGTGGAAAGAACGGATTAGAGTCTTCCCAAGGAGGGTAGCCCATATAATAGCCTACTTACAAATGAGTGTAGAGTCAAACGGGGGTTGGCAGTGGATCAAACTTGTCCAGCTTGTATGCAAAAAACAGAGCGAAGGACATTCTACATGTTTTACGTGACTACACAGTAGTTAAGGGAGTTTGGTAAAAGATAAAAGAGGGAGCTTATGTGAAATTTTTTTAATGAGAGCTTGATCAACTAGTTACACTTTAATATATCTGCCTACTCTACTGTGTCACCAAATTGGAGTGTTATTTTTGTTGTTACTTCAGACACATTATGGAACTTATATTTCTGAACTCTGAAGTCCCTTCAACTCAAATAGTTGTTGAGATTCATTTGTGTGCATTAGAGATTATCAACAATAGGGGCAAATTGATAGAGCTACTCAGTCACCCACAAGTTTAGAGGAGACACATTCTTTTACTCAATGGCGTTTTCCCCCAAAAGGTTGTCTTAAATTGAATTGTGATGGTGCAGTCAAAAGAGGAAGTGCAACATCATGTGAGGATGTTAACTATGACCAGAGGGACAATTTTGTCGCTTCATTTTCATGCATGTTGGGATGCTGCTCTATAATGCAAGCAAAACTATGGGCTATTCATGGCTTGCACTTGATATGGGACAAAGGTCTTGGTGGAAGGATCTATGTCAAGAGTAACTCAACCTTAGTAGTTAAAATTATGATGCATCAATATAATACACGTATCGGATATGACACGTATCCAATACAATGATACAATTATTTTAAAATATATAGGATACGATATATGTAAGATACGTATTATCATATGTATCAATATTTATGTAATATAATAAATGTGTACTTGTAATTTTGATCAAAATTCATAAACATTAAATATATAATTGTTATTTTACAAATCTAAATTAAAAACATACTTATTATACATTACTAAAAGTAAATAAATTATAAATCATTTCATCATAAATTATTTTTTATTATTTATAAATAGAAATAATATTAGCAATTTCATTTCTTTCTTAAAATTATCAAATATAGAAGACAATTTTCATTTACTATTTATCAATGACCAATATTTCTCTGTTTCTACATTAAACATGTTTACATATCTTATTTAACTGTAATGGATATTTCATAATTTTTAAAAGTTTGGATACTTTATCAATATGTATCACCAATAAATATCGATAAAATATCTGAGTATTGGAATTGAATAAAATTATAATATTTTTAAAGGTTAAGATGCTTCACCGACATGAATCAGTGAAATATCCAAGAATATCATATCTGATACATATCAAATACGGATACGTGAAATAAAAATTGAAGTATCAATGTTTCACAAAGTTAAAATGAAGGATGTAGTGTCTCTCACCCTGTCACACATGCTACTAGCTAGTTGAAAGTGTGACAAGTATTTTGGGGCAATAGTGCTTTATATCCTATAGTCACATTTTCAAAGAGACCAATCAAGTGGCAGATGTTCTTACGAAATGAGAGTTCCGTCTTGAAGAAGAGATGATGGTCTTTGATAACCCTCTTTCTTATATTCAAATTCCTTTAGTTGCATATATGTCCTCTTTCTTTTGCTAGGGGGGTGTACCTGCCATATTTGACATAAGTGATGTGTGTTAATTGTCTCACTCATCCCACACTATGTCAGGGGTACGCTTGTCCTTGAAGCATCACTACTCAAGGTTTGTCTCATCCCTGGTCATTAGTATGAGGTACCACAATCACAATCATGTTGATGTCCACCCATTTGAAAGCTCACAATATTTGGAGCTTTATTAAACCAGGCTTACAACAAGGAGCAGATGATGCAACTCAAAGGAAAGGACCAGTTGGCGCTATCACAAATTCATCAAGGTATAGATTATTCAATTTTTGGCAAAATCGCAAATGCCAAAACAGCCAAAGAAGCGTGAGGAAAATAACTAAGTGACAATACAATGACAAGGTAGTAAAGTAAATAGTAATTCAGGAATGAAAATTCCTATAAACTTATGATGAACATATGTCTAATAAAACTGAAATTGGAAGTGATTGTCAAGGGAGAAAAATTGATTTATAATTAATAAGTAAAAAAATACATTCATCCCCTTCATTAGAGTCAGAAAATTACTATTTGCAAGTCTGCTAGTTTCACCATTACAGTGACATCTTATCTAGGTAGGAAAAAAATTATGGAAAAAATACTTATTGCTGGTAGTCATAATTAGAAATACAACATGATAGAAATTAAAGTCGGGGTATGATTTAGGGATTACTCATAATTGTAAGTTTGTAACGCTCCAAAGTCCAAACATAAAGGAAAAAAAATCATGTTTCCTGAAGTAACAATATATCATTTTCTTTTCATATTTTCAAATGAAAAAGTGGCGGAGGGGGGATCATTGTGAGATGCTTCATTATTGAATGCATAAATTCCAAAGCATTTCCTGAATACTAAGACATAAATATCCCTTGCACAAGGCATTTCAAATTTAGATACCAATGACAGAAATTCCCTCAGTTTCTTGGGCATGACACAGTGAGGAAAAGATGATGGACAACAACCATAGAAAAACTTGACCAATAACATTAACACTCTGAAAGACAAAGCTACAAAATACAACACCTTACTCGAATATCAGAAATTTGTAGTCGAGGATTGGTTGGACTCTCAAGCCACACAAGCTTAGTCCTGGGTCCAATGGAAGATGCAACCTCATTTAGATAACTTGTATTTACCCTTCTGCACAAACAAGAATTGAAGTCTGATCAGTCAGTTGATCACTAATAGATTTAATCTCCACAGAACCAACAAAGTTGGCTGATTTGTTTGTATAATTAACTACTCATTATATAGTAAATAAATATACACAACTAACAAATCAGACTAACTTCACCACAACTCCAGTCCTTGGAATTACTTGAGACAGCAACCTATCTGAGCCACCATATATATCATCTCCGGCAACAATTTCCTCACCTATATGAACATTGTCAGGAGTAAATAACAAGAAACTATCATGTTTTATCTAAAAGAAAAAAGAAAGGCTATCCTGTCAGATTACATTGCTTGCAGCCCCACAGATTGAGTAACTTTTCTCTGTTCTAGTTTTGTTATGAATCCCACAGGAACAATCAAGGGAAAATTTTAAGAGTAATGAGACTACACTGACATAAGCTCCATAATAGCTAAAAAATAATGTTACAGTATGCCACATTGTGCACTGGTTTCATACTTCTGTAGTAAAATTATAATCTAACCACAAGTATTTAATAAAAATAACCTTAGACCTCATAGGTACTTAGTAAGTCTAAACTGAAATAACTAATAATGAAGAAGGATAATATTTTATCACACTGAAGAAAGAAAAAGTACCAGTTCCAACAAGATGAGCAACAGCAGTCAAAGCAGCCATTCCACTGGTGAAGCACAGGGCTCTATCTGCTTTATCAAGTTTTGCCAGTAAACTGAGAACATAAAATGTACAAATTAAAAGAGGATGTACAAAGAAGCATAATATTATATGAAACATCTACAGTTGCAGTACAAAACACAAACTAACAGGTCACATCATGATCAAACCTTTCTAAAGCATCTCGGGTAGGATTTCCACTTCTAGTATAGTCATATGGACCATTTTCTACCGCAGAAGGCTGCATGAAAAAGAGTATAAGACATAGAGAAATTAACAAAGAAAGATATTCAACAGGGATGCTAAATAACGAAACACTCGTGAGTTCATCACACACTGATCCAAGATACCAAGGTAATGCAAATGAAAAATCCGGCTATGGGGACTTCTACCACATAATAATATACAAAATCAAAGCTTCACCTGCTTAAAAGTGGCCGTTTGGTAGAGTGGGGGACTAATTGCTCCAAAAGGATCAAACTTATTCTCGAAATTCATCACAATTGTTGAAATACTAGGCTCCCCTAAATCCTCTTCTGCAAACAGAAAGAATTAGCATTACACACAGAACATAAACCCTATATATCTGGTGTCAGCCAAGGAAACACAGCACATACCATTTAAGCACCCAGATACATCATTCACCAAAGATGATGAAGATGATGACTCCACATTCATCTCTCTATTATCAACCAAGCAATTCAGCTTGAACCCCTCAACACACAACACTCTCTTAGCACTCAAATTCTCTGACTTGTTAAACCCCAGGCACTCCCACCTGGTTGCAGCAGTTGTGCTCTAAAAAGTAAAAACACACGATGCCAAGGAGAGAATGAGAAGCATTATACAAATGAAAACAGGTTATCATGATTAGGTGAAAAATATGATTTTGAAGCATGTTTTGAACTCCTGAAGCAAAAGGGGTCCTGAAATCAAGCTTCCCAACATCATGGAGGGAGAGTTCACACTTCTCATACCTACAAGATTGCATTTTTTTTTTTAATTTATGTTGCTTTTGCATTTTACCCCTTTTTTGTTTCGAATTGTAGAAAAAGTGTATTTTCTTGTACTCTCTGGGCAACGAAATGCATTGCTAATAATATACAGCAAATGGAGAGCATAAAAAAAGGAAGAGGTAAAGGGTTTTTACCTGAGCGTAACGATCAAGGACGAGGGAGTGAAGGAAAGGCTTGAGAGAAATTAAAGAAGAAAACATTATTGAAATTGATGTGTTTGGAACTGTGCTATGCTTGTGTTAGTGTTCGATTGCTCAACTTCAATGCTCTCTTTGCATTTGGTCGCCATTTCGGCGTGGGGGACTTCTAAGAATTTATATTTTTTTTTGGTGAAAAAAATCATTTGTTGCTATGAAAATCGATGGATGTTGATTGGTTGTCCATTAAGGGTGCCAACAGAATCTTGTAAGGGCGGGTAATAGTAAACTCATTCTTGTTTTGTGGGATAAAAATTAGTTTTATACCTATTCCATATCTGTACATATATTTATTAAGCGGGTATCGATAAATTTCTTGAATATCCAAGAATATTCATGGATATTTATAGATATTTATAATTTTTTTTAAGAAATTAAAAAAATTATATTAGAAATGATTTTAAGTTTATATTTAATGTCATTGAAATATTAAAAATAAAAATTTAATGTTAATTTTGAACTTGTATTTAACGTTAATTTTGTTGAAATAATAATAAAAATGTAAGATAATCAATAACTTAAAATACATCAATCTCACAAGTGAAAGTCTCATATCAGAAAGTTACAATAATTCAATCTCATAATTCTAAACGAAAGTAAACAACTTAAAATACATAAATCTTATTGTGATAACTAATGTGTGGGTTGTGCGGCTATGGAAAGAAAATAAGATGAGAGAGTGTAGTTTTAGGATTATGTGGTACAAGGATAATTAGGATATTTAAAAAATATTATTAAACAGGTACCCCAGGTATGGATATCATCATACCCACCCCCGCCCCCGCCCCGTTTATAAATGGGTAAAAATTTATCCATTTCCATTATTCACGGGTACCCAATTAGCCTATCCATTTATTATTCGTAGCGGATTTTACTCATAAATACTCGCGGGTTCGGGTATTTTTGTCATCCCTATTATCCATATCTATAGTATATATTATTATTATTACGAATGTTTTTTTTTTTTTACTGTGTGTTTGGTAAAATTATTAAATAAATATAAGAAAGCTTATGAACTACTCTTATAAAATATGAACTAGTTAATTAAAGGGTAATTATATTTTAAATTTTTTAATTTATTTTTAAGATTTAATTTAGTTTCATTACTTTAAAATGTTTTCCCACCTTAAGCAAGGTCAGGGGTTCGAATCCTGCCTTATGTATGCAGCTGCGTTAAATTTTGGGGCCAGCTATCCCACCCTTTGAGGTGCCTCCAACGTAGCGAGGAGATTAGTCACTGCTGTCGGCGGTGGATACTCCAGGAACGAACCTAAAAAAAAATGTTTAATTTGATTCTTTAATTTTTTTAAAAATGTTCATTGTTATCTTTTCGTCTAAATTTGATACTAACATTAAAAATAGTGGGATCAAATCGAACATTTTAAATAATTCAATGTGATCATCTAATTTTCAAATGATATTTCATGATACTCTTCCATTTTATTTTATTTTTAGGCAAAGAAAAAATATATCAAAAAGGAGTACAAAGGGGTACTCTAACCCATAATATAAAAAATTAACTTCAAAAATCTTAGACATAGATATATGAAACTAACAAAAATACAAACTACCAAGTGAATACAATCAAGTGCTTGGACATCTGTTGCTAGACATTAGTAACTCTCGAAACCAAGTAGTGAGCTCAATGACAGTAGCATCTCAAACGATAGATTATGACAGCATCGAATACCATCAACAGATTGATCTTCAAACGACAATTATAAGAAACAGTAGTCAACACTTAGAAAGTAAGACAGGAAGAACCATATCAGGAGAAATATAAGCAAGAAAATGGTTTATTAGACCAAAGAGCAAAAAGGTATTGAAAAGCTAAATTTTTAGCCGTTAACCAATTCCAAGATCTCAACTTAATTAAATCCACCACATCCTCAAGATCCATAATTTTTTGAGAGAAAAATGCCTCATTCCTTGCAAGCCAAATTGACCATAATGTTACCAACCAAATAGAAGACCATCGCACCCGATTAACAACATTACAATTTGGGACTCCCACAAATTGCTCGAAATTAGCCAAACTAGTATTATTCTGAACAGAGGAGAATCCAAACCATTGAAGACAAGACATCCATATTTTAAAAGCATAGAAATATTCAAAAAAGAGATGGGATGAGGTTTCCTCACATAGACCACACCAAACACAAGATGCTACATTAGAAGGTAGAACCTTTCATTTAATTAGGTTCTGTTTTGTTGGAATTCTGTCTAGAATAACCCTCCATCCTAAACCTTGGGAGTATCAAATTGGACCACAAATATCTATACATAGGAAAATTGGCATATATAGACTGGTTTATTATAACTTGATAGGTAGATTTGACAGAATAAGATCCTCCTGAATCATGTTTCCACCTCCAACCATCAAATTTTTCTTCAAATAACTTTACGCTTTGTAATTCCAAATACGAGAGTTGCAATTGATCTTCCTCCCACTGAAAGAGATCCCTTCTCCAACACCAAATTAAAATTTGGATGGAAAAATAAAATATTTTTTTTAAATCTAACCAAATTAAATTATTTAAAAATGAGGAGGGTTCAAACGACACCGGTATAACTTTTATTAAGTGTTACACCGCTCAATAACTTTATATTAAATGTGAATTTTGTAAATCCAACCGTTAGATTGAAAATTCATATCACTTAATATGTGTATCAAATTTTGTTAAAATTGAACAACAAGTTGAGAGTAATCAAAGTGTTAATATTTTAATATATTTTGAAATAAATATATTACGTCAATTTTGTTTTATAAGAATGAAGTATTAAATCATATTGGATTAATATAAAATTTTGTATATATGATCTAAGAGTAAAATCCTTTCAATCTAACAGTTAGATTTACAAAATTCACATTTAATATAAAGTTATTGAGCAGTGTAACATTTAGTAAAAGTTACACCGGTATCGTTTGAACCCAACTCTTTAAAAACAGTCAGACTAAATTGAATTTTAAAAATAATTAGATAGATCAATAGTATTTTAACCTTGATTAAATGAAAAGTAGTTGATAAGATTATTTAATAAGTATAAAATAAACAATTTTTTAAAGAGATAAATAAGCATTTGTAAACTAATACTTTAGCATATGTAATGCACATGTTAAATATTTATTATATATAATTAAAATTTATAATAAATTATATACAAATAAATATTATATTTGAATATATAAATCATATTTAAAATTATATAAATAGATACTTTTAAACATATAAATTACATTTTAGATTTATAATAAATAATTTATATTGTAGTATAATATTATTTTTATTT